GTATGATGCGACTGCATTGGATGTCCGACGTCGACTTGAAACGGCGTTCCCCGACATAGGGGAGCTTAATGTCCAGAGAGACGATACACTCGAGCAGCTTCCTGAAGTTGGTCGATTGTGGAGAGTGACGTTCTTGTCAGCTGTAGGAAACGTCCCCCAGCTTGGGGCTCACAGTTTCCTCTCCGGTTTGGAGTCGAAAGTGGTCACACGAACGATTGTCAGTGGCAACGAGCTCTCAGGGTCTTTCCGACTGAGCTTTCTCGATAGACAAAGTCGTCCTCTGGCTCATGATGTCGCAGCTGAAGATCTTCGATTAGCTCTACTGGAAGATCTGCCTGCGCTAATTGACGCTCGTGTGACGCGTACGGATGCAAACGGCCAATGCGTGCAAGGGTCGACACTTGCTGGTCAAACTGCTAGCTCGTCGATTACTGCGGTTGATCCAAATCTCGATCAAGGTCTGTACAGAGCGTCAGAGTGGCAGGTGCCCGAAGATGACCTTGTCGAGGTCTCAGATAGCACGAAGAATTATGCTGCCAAGCGTTGCCGTGCTGGTCGTGGAGCTGCTGGAGGATTCGTGTGGAAATTACAGTTCTGGACGCGAGAAGGGAACGGGGTATCGATGAGTCCGACGTCTAGCTCCATGATGGAGGTCGCGTCTCCCGCTGCCTTGACGGTGGATTACTCAGAGCTGAAAGGACTAGACACCGTGGCTGAGATCGTCGACTCTCAGTGCTTTTCACTCGCGTTTGGTGGCGCTGGAGCTTCATTTGCGGGTCCAGGGGGCTTTGGATATGCTGAATCTCCTTGGGTGGCACCACCTTACGCGGATGAGCTAGTAACTGATCTGTTAGGAGGAAGTGGAGGAGCCGGGGGCGGACAGGAACCTTTTGATGTTTACCCGGTAGTTCAGCCAACTCAAGGTGGCGCTGGTGCTGGTGCCATTATGCTCTCAGCGATCAACGATGTCCTTATCGGCCCCAATGCGATCATCTCTGCGAACGGCGGGAACGGAGGCGCTGGCTTCACACCAGGCGGTGGGGGCTCTGGAGGGTCAGTATTGTTGGTAAGTGGCTCTACTGTGTCGAATCATGGAATGCTGGAAGCTATCGGAGGGCATGGAGGCAACGAGCTTACGGCTGGTCATAGTGGGGGTGGAGGTGGAGGTAGTGGGGGACGAATTGCCATCTACGCACAAACTTATTCGCCCTGGGGAGAGGGAAGCGTCCAAGTGAGTGGCGGGGCCTCCGCTACCACGACTAGAAGGGGCGGGCATGGCTCTGCTTACGTTAGAGTTCGTAGTGAGTTGGCAATGCGTGTTGATGCTTCTATGGGAGCTGCTGGGACGGCCAAATCTCTTCTCGTGCATGGCAGTGAACGCTACGCCAGTGGAT